AAAAAACACAGTAAAAACATTAACCAGGCCTTGTGGAGAAACTGGTTTTCCCAGCTACTTGAGAGGTTGAGACCAAAAATTCAACTGAAATAAGGTGGTTAAGATTGCTCTGTGCTATGCTGATGCTATGGCACACTGGTCTTATGGCAACGCAGTGAGACTTTGTCTCAATGAGAAAATAAACATAAGAAATAAAAACAAGAACAGAGGTGCCTTTATGTAACAACAAGAGAAAGAAACTCAGGCTTCCCAGAACTCATTTCCAATTAAGCCGAGCTTCCCTAATCACGTTGCATTGTTTGGTTTCGTCCTTCAACTTGGGACCTCTGACCAGTGTTATCTGCTTCATTCACTCCAACCTACCTGGGTGCTTGACCACTGTCTTGTGAGTCTTCACCTTCCAGGGTTCTTTCCTTTGCTCCAGACAGGTGATGAGGTCTGGCTTAGAGACATCAAGCCCTGTTTCATTAGAAAAAAAAAAAAAAAAGATAACATGACGCTTGTTGGGCTTCACAAGTTAACAATCTAGTACCTTCGTAGAGAACACAACATTTTAGAGATCCTAAAAGAATAATCTAAAAATAGAGGTTTCCGACAGAAACTTTAGAATATTTTAAAAGTATTTCAAATGCTCCACTACCCAGTACTATGGAAATAAAATTCAGGGCCAGAAACTAGACTTAAAGGTATGAGCAACAATTCTTAGCCTCTATCTACATTTTTGAATTACCATCAATGTACGGAAGAATATTTATTAGCTCAAGAAAGGCTAAGATTAATGCCAAGATAACATCTGAAATATTTTCTTTTCTATACCAAGAACTTATGTTTTCCTTAGAAACAACAATCTGAAACTAATGCAGTCAAAGAAAAATCTACACACAACCCACCTACAAAGAAACAATATGAAATGCTTAGTGTACTGTAGGAACTGTGTATGTAAGTTTTCCTCACCTAGGAAGACCAGGTTTCCATAGGTCTCTAGCATGACATCCCGATATAAATTCTGCTGAGCAGGATCCAGGTAGGCCCATTCATCCATAGAGAATTCTACAGACACATCTCTGAATGTCAACAGTGCCTAAAATAAAACAAAAATTAAAAAACTAAAAAGAACAATATTCATCATGGTGCCAAGGGAAGACTTAATTTCATTTTTACATAAATGAGTGGGTGAGAACTTCTTTTGACTTACATGACTGAATGGTATTATGTGATAAGTTTGGCAGAGAGATAATTCCTTAAGTGCTCTCTAACCCTGAAGAGAAGATGGGATAACGTCCACAATCCTAGTGTAGATACTGTGTTTTTTCAGGTTACAGTGCAAAAATAAAGCCCCCAATATAGGCACGTGTATTTCTGTGCCTTACTTATATCATACACTATAAGCTGTGCATATTTCTTTCTTTTTCTTTTTTTTTTTTTTTGAGATAGAATCTCACTATTTTACCCTTGGTAGAGTGCTGTGGCGTCACATCTCACAACAATCTCAAACTCTTGGACTCAAAACATTCTCTTGACTCAGCCTCCCTTGTAGCTGAGACATCAGGGGCCCCCCACAATGCCCGACTTTTTCTATTGTTTGTTTAGCTGGCTCAGGCTGGGTTCCAACCCACCAATCACAGTGCATTTGGTCAGCGCCCTAACCACTGAACAACTACTTTAGGTAGTTAATGCCATCTTCTGTAAAAGTGCATGTACTTCAACTTTGCTTCTTTTTTCTTGAGACAGTCTCACTTTGTCACCCTATGTAGAGTGCTGTGCTATCATACTCTACAATAACCTCACATGGGATCAAGAGATTCTCTTGCCTCAGCCTCCCCAGTAGCTGGGACTATAGGCACCCACCACAACACCTGATGATTATTTATAGATGGGTCTTGCTGTTGCTTAGACTGAACTTGAACTCCTGATCTCAGGCAATCCACCTACCGTGGCCTTCAAGAGTGCTAGGATGTCAGGTGTAAGCCTCTACTCCTGGCCTCATGTACTTCATCTTATTCGACATAGAACTGATGGAGCTTACAGATCGAACCTAAACAGCACGTATTCCCCTTCTTTGCTAAAATCTAATGCAGACTTATCTATAATGGCAATCTTAGGTATTCACATTTTCCCATTTTATATAGGCACAAGGAAAACATTTTCAGTATTATAATACTATATATATACACATATATATGTATATATGTGTGTACACAGCTTATAGTATATATATATGTATTTTTTTTTTTTTTGGTAAAACATAAATTTACAGTTAAAATTTTTTTCAGGGGACATGAGAAGCCTGGATGGAGACAATGGAAATAAACCTATGCTATACAGGTAGGGGAGGAAAAGTTTTCAGAGCCTCTTGAGTATTGTAGGAATAGGGCAAAAGCGTATTTGAAACAAACTCATTAGGCAAAAACATCACAAGTAGAGAAGCAAAGGTTTGCAAGTTCTAAATACATGACACTGCAGGAGAAGAAGTGGGCACAACCCTGGACCTGGGACACATTTACGTGAGAAGCAATCATTGCTTTCTCTTTTCCTCTTTTTCATTTCCTTCTCAGGTGAGATTATCTGGATACATTACACCTATACCTGTACAGTATGCCTTTAAAGACATCAGTTTGACACATTCACCTGCTACCACGATATCCACAGGCAGAAAGTTGATAAAGTATAGAAAAATATTGACCCTTCCCTGTTTTTTATCAATGGAGACAGTCAGGAACAAGGAGATTTTGAATTTAGTGCAAAGTGTGAGCTTCTTATTTCTTGACACTGGGTACCCTACCCTGCCAGTAATTTCTACTATGGCAATGGAAATATGAGTCATGCTATCTTATCCATATTAAAACCAAGATGAGCAGGCCCTATGACCTCTTTCTGGAAAAAAGACTAAACTCAACTTTCACAAATACATCTGGTGGCTTGGCGCCCATAGCGCAATGTTATGATGCCGGGCACAGGCACCAAGGGTGTATGGATTATCTGGATTCATTACACCCTAATGTGGTGTAAGGGGTGGTGGGTTTGAACCCAGCCCTAGCCTGCTAAACAAAAATGACAACTGCAACAAAATAATAGCCGGGCCTTGTGGTTGGTGCCTAAAGTCCCAGCTACTTGAGAGGCTGAGGCAAGAGAATCACTTAAGCCTAGAGGTTGCTGTGAGCTATGACACCACCGCACTCTACCAAAGGCAACATAGTAAGAGTCTGTCTCAAAAAAATAAAGAAATAAAGAAATGAATGAATGAATAAATAAATGAATGTATCTGGAAGTCCTCATGCTTGACACTAGCCTAATCTAAGCATCACATGGAGACACTTAATTAAAACCACATAGATTACACAATGGAGACTATTACAATCTTTTGGAAGGCAGAATCACTGTTGATGGGACTTTATCAACCTGGCTGTGGAACCCTAACAGGAAGCCTGAGCAGAGAACCACTTAACTCAGCATTGCCTCTCAGGCCTTAATATGCACACAAACCAATTGGTATTCTTAGCCACCCTAAGTATGTGA